AAATGAGTCTACATGGCCAAGGAATACAACCTTAGACAAATCCACATCACACTTGGTTAACTTAGCATGAAATTTTTCTTCCCATCTTTTAAACTCAAACACCCACGCCTTAACATGACTTTTAAAATCTGAATAACCTGACTGAACCAACCATTTAACTGCAAATAGAAAATAATATCAAAATTAGATCGAGTTCCAAAATACTTGCTCAAGTAATTCCAAAACCTTGAAATAAACCTTAGATCCCATCAGATACAATTAAAATTGGCACTCCATGTATTTTAACTATCTCATTGATGTATAATTCTGCATATTTATCCATTGAGAAAGTAGTTTGAACAGGAATGAAATACGCGGTCTTTGTTAATTGCTCCACAATTATACAAATTGAATCCTTTTTGTTCGAGGTCAAAGGTAACCTAGTTACGAAATCCATCGAAACTCTTTCTCATTTATACTAAGAACTGAAAATTATTTACTCTCATTATACAGATTTCCAATTTACCTTATTTTCAGTTTACCAACATATTAAACTTTTAGACTATATTTCTTTATAACCCTTGTTATATTTACTCTTCTAAACCATTCACTTTAATTTCTTATCTCTTTATTTCCTTCCGGAGTTAAAATACTTTCTTATTTTTTTACTACCTTAATACTTCTTATACTCTTCCATTTTCCGTGATTTTCTGTTCTATCCTTAACATGTACTTATATATTCATCCTTAATTCTAACAAAATAAACTTGAACTATACTTTTGCCTTCCTAATACTATCTTCTTCTTCCAACACCAATCGATATAACATATTAATTTCTATAACTCTCTTAAAATCCTTAGAAAGTTCTATCCCTTTTCTTTGTTTTACTTTCAACTTTAGAATATGACCAACACTTCAAGTTTCCCTTTTTAATTCAAAAACTTCCTTGTAACATAGATCATCTCTTTTTCTTCGTACTTCAATATCCTTTCCATAATGATATGAAAAACATCATCATACTACTTATAATAACTATTAATTGCCAATTTATTGAATCTTCCTAACTTTGGTAATCTACACTCCTTTGTAAAGAATCGTATTATTCTTTATACTCAGAATTTCTCCACTTGATACATCAGAACTAACTTCAAATACGTATCTAACCCTTTAAGATACTTATTCTACTTAAACTTTTATAATTTTTGACAGATTTTTTAATCCAATTACAAAATTTAAACTTAGACCGAACTTGATAGTATAATTCTTGGCTTCATAGAAACTAAAAATTCCTAATTCCTTATTCATATTTCGAAATAAATTTATCTTACTTCAAATAAAAGCCACTTGTTTTATTTTATGTACTACTTGAGAATCATTTTCAAGTATCCTTTGCTACACCGCACTTATTTGTTCGACTTACTTTTCCCAACTATCATTTTCCAATTGATAAGATATATCTTGCATTTCCTTGTTTCTTACTAATTCAAATAACTATTGCCTCATTACTAATAACTTGTTTAGTGGTGAGGGGTCTTAGAGAGTTTCTTCATGAATCTTTTGAATGATCAAAGAATTACAAAAGATTTCAAATTCAAAATAACTTTTCAAACTTCCACTCAATCATAACTCGAACATTAATTATACTTTCTACCATATCACCAATATATTCTTTCTAAAAGTTTAAACCAGTCATTAAAAATTCTACTTCATATCATTCTTTGATCTTAATCAATCTATTAGAACTTAACAACCTTATAAAAATAACTTCATAATAATTACTTCTGAAATCCTAGTAGGGAACATGTTTACTCTCCTTATCACATTAATCCATCATACATGTGCTTGACCTCTTAGCAGTAAGACTACCTCTATTTTAGAGCAATGGAGACCATTCAACAAAAGTTTCTTATCATTTACCAAAAAATTCGCAGATACAGAACTTTCCTCAACTTCTCCCTTAAACTCAGGTTCTTATAAACATTTTAACTCTTTACTAACATTCCTTCTAATAACGGGGAAGTAGATGATTGGAAAAGCTTCATAATCGCGTTCAACATCTAGAAAATACTTCCTGAGGCATCTATTATTCATTTTGCGTAATTACTACTTCTCCCATTAACTCTCTATTTCCCGTTTCACTTCGAGAGATCTCTTAGTCTTACATCTCTTCATATCTAATCACTTAACTATACTAGCAATGACAACATACTTATTACACTATCAGATCAGAGATACTTGTTATTTCGTTGGCATGTATAAACAAAATATTTTTTACAGTCGACCGGTCGATCTATTTCAAAAACTTGACTCAACCTAAGCCCTGATACAAATAAATGTAACACCCCCAACCCGTATACGACACAGATACACGTTTGAGGTGCCACATTGACTTTTCAACTCTTTGACTATTTGAAAATCTGACTAAAATTTAACTTTTATTGGAAAATGAAACATATTTGCAAAACATATCAGAGGATCTACAATTTAAAACATTATTAGTACATGCTAACAACATTTCAAATAACAAAACACATACTATTTAAAATATCTTTGATCTGATAATCTTCTCAGTTATGCTATCTTGCCTTGATAACTCGACTTACTTATCGAATCTCTTTGGGCCTACGTGTGAAAACACTCACACTCTATGTCTATGACTTAGTGAGGCATTATGAGAAATATAAAACAGTAAAACATTTATATACATTTTACAAAAGTAAAATTAAGTACAAAAACACCACAAGTTTTATAACTTATAATATATCTTATTAAACATTGATAAATTTATATCCATGTTAATTTCTCTTATATATTTCATATCATTAACATATAGACTTTTTGACAATATACAAATTATAATCAGTTTACATTTCATATAAATTACATAAAACTTATACACTTTTCAATTACTATCAATTTGTTTAATTTAATCCATTTATTTAATTAGCCCAACGTATATCGCGAAGAACTAAAGGTATGCGAGTACATTGAGGTTGTGCACTAATGCATTTACCACTACTCACATAATTTGCACCAAAGTGCCACATATTTGTCCCAAAGGACCATATAGGTTTGTCCCGAAGGACCACATAGGTTTGTCCCGAAAGACCACATAGGTTTGTCCCGAAGGACCACATAGAACCCTCGATTCTTGGTATGCCAACTATACCCCTAATTCTCATAAAATATACTTTGAGCTTTAGCTTGTAATTATTTTTCATTTCATTGCTCAGATTGTGTTTTATTCACATAGAATACATTCACATAGGGATTTTCACGTAGAACAAATTTGACGTAGCATTATCCAAGTTTAACATTTATTCACATAGAACTTAGTCTCATAGTATTTCATTTCACATAACATATATTCACATATAGCACATATTCATATCTTGGCTTAATTCAACATCATTTATGTTCTATATAGAAACCATTCCTATAAACAATATAATTGAAATATTGCACACATACTAAAACAAATTTATCATATAAAATAGATTGAGTAATTCATACCCAAAATTTATTCAAAGAATCATTTAGCAAAACAATGTAAAATATATTTAACATAGAACAATTTGAAAACAATTTCTTTCCAAATCTTTTGAGGTCGACTCGTCGCAAGTCTTCCTGATTCCATACTTTAAAACATAAATATGAATGCACTCATCTTTGCCTCACTTAAGTCCTAAGCATACATCCTTTCCACTTTAGCTTACTAACTTTACACGTCTATTTGTTCAACACTTTATTTCAATCAAATCTACACAATAATATAACCCATGAATATCGAAGCTCAATTACATCTAGCCAATTAACTTTTACTTGAACAAAATGGAACACCTAACTTAACATTTCAGGCTTAATAGTATGTGTACTCTACCCATAGTACTGATACTTCTCTTCTATGGTACCGATACCTACTTTAGTACCGATACCATTTTGGCATTCTGAAATTCATTTTCAATTACAATATCGGTACCTTACTCTTGGTATCGATACCTCCACATCAGTATCGATACTACTTCAATCAGTATCAATATTGTTCATCTTATTCATACTCTTCCCTTTCATTTTAATCTTATAGTATCAATATTGTTCTTCCAGTACCAATACCCTTACCTATAATTCATCTATTTCACTTCGAAAATTTACCCAACTTCACTTAAATCTCTTACCCTTAACTCTATTTATGCTTTCAAACTCATTTACACTTATTCTCACTAACTTATATCCATTAGAACTCCTTTAAACTCTAAATTCTTCCAAATAACTCTTGAAACTAAAAATCATATAAATTTTCCAAACATGTTTTAAATCCATTATAACACTTCAAACACCTTAATTATACCTTTGACAAGTCAAATATATCATTAAAAATCCAAATACTAATCAATCTTATAAAATCCCTTAAAAACCTATTTTACTAATTCACCCATAGCTCATAAATTCCATGGTTTTTAGTTATCTTTAAGCTTTCTTAAGCTTTTATATCACCCAAGGACTAAAACCCAACTCAAAAACGAAAGAACCCATCAACTTTAAAATCAATTACCTTAGCCATGGTTCTCGGTGGAGAAAGGAAGAAGATAAGAGTTCCAGATTTTTCTTTCCCTTTCTCTATTCCTCACATGATAAATAACCCTTAAAATAAATTTTAAATTCATTTCTTGTAAAAAGACCACTTTACCCTTTAATAATTCATTATTTGATAGTAAGTCCTAGACCACATTTTCCAAAATTAGTCATTAAACTTTTTAATTTATAAAAAATATTACCACTAACTTTTAAATCCTTACACTTAGTCACTGACCCGATGTTTGAGGTATTACAATTATATTAATTTTTATTGATGTCATCATTTCATTGGCTTAAATATGAAATTGTAAAATTTTCTTTTGGTGGGTATCGAACCCAAGTTACATAAATTAAAGCCTTTTCATGCTACCACTGGGCCAAATCTGAGGCTTAGTTATCCTTTGTAAGATTTAATATTTATCCTATGTATTGTGTTTCTCACACATTTAACCCAACATCAAACACTCGTCGTTCTCCTCTACGTCGTGACTCTTTTTAGCTAACTGATCTAACTTCCAACCAAGTTCCTGCAGATGATCGGAGTCGTCGTGACTGGGAGGTCCGAATGTCGGTAGACAACCGACTCTTAAAGCTAAAGCTTGCATCAAAGCAGGCCATTTCATGTGTTGGTTCATTGAGAAATCGATAAAATGGACTCCTTTCTTGCCTTCAAAACCTTCAAGAATTGCTTTATTGGTCGTGAAATTAGCGAACTTTAGACAAGGGTTGGCCTCGCAAAAGTCCATGTGAAGAACATCCGATAAAGAGTTGTCGAGTGGGTTTTGAGGGTATAATCTATAAATCCTCTGAGCTAAAGCTTCAGTGAAATACGTCACCAGTTTTCTCATGGTTGTGGTTTGAGAAATCGAAAAAAGCCCAATTTGTCCCATCAGGGCTTCGGTGAGATTGAGGTTATTTTTGTTGTACAACTTCTGCACACGTCATTAAAGTATGGACGAGCTAGATTCTATTCTCTTACGAGTCGATGAGGACAACCGGATAAATTGAATCAGACGGAATTCTATACGAACCAGCAGCAACCGGAGAGGAAGGAGGGAAAATAACTAAGTTAAACTCGGTTGTGGATTTCAAGCATTTTTTCGATTTAATGTTGTTGTTAGTTGAAGAAGAAGATGAATAAATAGCCTTACCGGGAATTGGTTTGAGATCATAATCCTAGCAGGAAGCTTCCTGAAAGATTTGTTTCCCACTTCTTTGATGTTTCCCGTTGTCGTTCTCGAAAAAAAACTGAATATTCTATACATACCTGTTGATGAAATGTGTTGAAAATTACAATGAAGAAAGTGTTGATGAAATGTTTGAAATACACAACACATGGTGTAGACACCCGTTTTTGTCCGGGTCTTTTTTTAATAATATTATTATTATCGTTATATTATTATTATTACTATTATTATTATTATTAATTTACAAATATTACATTTTTGTTGCAGGCTATTAAGCCCATCAGTACATCAAGCCCAACAGCTGGAACCCGAACCAAGCCTGGATCGGGCCCAAAGCAATTTGGGTTTGAAACCCTAAACATATCATCATCCAGCCGCCGCCGCCAGCAGCAGATGAACAGCCGCGCCACCGTCACTGTTCCGGCCCGTCTCGCTCCACTCCGACTGCTCCCACCTGCACCAACAGTAACTCCATCAGTTCCAAATCAAACCAATCAAAGGAAATAGTAAACAAATCAAAACCCTAAATTAAAAAAATACCTAAATCCCGATAAATCGGGAAATTTGTCCCTACCAAGATCAGAGACCCTTACCCCTACGCTAGCATCATCATCATCTCACCAAACGAAGCAAAATCAACCATAAATCAAGCAAAGATATCAGAGGAAAGGGGGGGGTCATTCGGGGTGTGAAAAAAAAAAACGGAGAGAGGTGGGATTCATTCGGGTTTCCAGAAAAAAAAAGAAAAGAAAAAAGAAACAAAAACCAGAATCGAAAAAAAAGAGAGAGTGGAGAGATTTACCTAGGTTCGAAGCCGGGGAGCCCCAAAGTCACCGTGGAATCCGAGAGATCGTCAAAGTCTCGGTGTTTCGAAGGTAATCTATCCTAAATCTAAAGGTTTAGGTTTGGTTTTAGGCTAGGTGGGGTTGTTTTTCGGGTTGGGGTTGAGTGAGGGAGTCTTTTGGGACCTTTTTTTTTATCCGGCCACCCTGGGCTCCGCCGTGAGCCGCCGTGGCCACCACCGGTGTAGGGTGGTTGCTCCTTCCCTGATGAGGGAAGGGCGAGAGAGTTCTCTGCTCTCTCTCTCTCCCTATTTTGTAGGAGATGAACCAAATGAGAAATGGGGAAGGAAATAAGCCGGTTTTGGGCTTATATTTCCAAACCGAAACGACGACGTTTAGAGGGGTCAGGGCTTCCGTGTTTTCAAGTGTAAAGGGTAAATAGCACCTTAGGTCCCTCGCAGTTGTAATTTATTTATTTCAATCATATACTGAAAGTTTGCTTTATTATATTTTGAGCACTTATGTTTCTGTATTTCTATTTTAGTCCTATTACTATGTGTTATATTATTATTTGTTAATGTTGAACTCTGGCCACAATGTTTGTAATAGTTTCATTTTAGTCATAATTTCTTGTATTATGATATTTTGTGGGTGTTTGAGTTTAGCCATCATATTTGCAAATGTTCTATTTTGGTCACTGTCCGACATTTTGTTTAATTACTTTTTGATCCTCCGTATTTCTATGAAATTGTTTTAGTCCTCATTTGCATGGTTTGTGTAATTATTTGATTTTACGCCTTAGAGTTTAGATTTGTTTCATTTCAGTCCATATTTGGTTATTTATTTCAATTTCATTAGTTTTTAATTTAGGCTATGATATTTATAATAATTTTATTTTAGTCACTTATTACATGTGTTGTGTGATTTTGGCTGATACTCAAATTTGGCCCATGAATTTATGATTATTCCATTTTAGTCACTGTTTATTATTTGATTTAATTACTGTTCGGCCCTCTATGTTTCTGTTGATATTTTAATTTGGCCTTAATATTTTATGCATGTTACATTTTGGTCACTCTTACAGTTTATGTATTTTGTATTTTGTATACCATGTTCATATAGTTTGTATTTTGGTCACTAGATCTTCTGTTGCTAATATTTTTATAAATTTGTACATTGTATTCTGCAGTTATATATATTTTATTTTAGTCCTATTATTAAATGTAATGTTATTATAGTCATATTTTACTTTGGCCACAATGTTTGTATTAGTTTCATTTTAGTCACTGATTTTGTATGTTATATATTGGCTGATGTTCGATTTTGACTCTAAGATTTGTAAATCTTTTTATTTTAGTCACTAGTTTGCATTCGGTTTAATTACTATTTTAGTTCCTACATTTCTGTTTTTGTCATTTTAGTATTTTAATTTTCTATTTTACTGTTTTTGCCCTTTAAGTTGTTATTACCATGTTAATCATTGTAATTATTAAATACTTGCTTTATGACTATTTTATTTTGGGTTGTAATATTCATTTGTATTTATTTCAATATGTATGTACATATTTCGTGTTATGTAGTCATTTGTATCAAATGTAAATAAATATGCCTAACTCTATTTGTTGTAAATATTTTATTGTGCATTTTTTAATCATATTTATTTCCATTTCCTTAAGTATTAATGTTATCCGAATATTTCAAGAATGTATTTGTAGAATGGGTGTGGAGAGTATCACTTGACCGAAGTGGTACAATCCGATACAACGTTCAAACGAAATAAGACTTGAAATAAATTTATTTTACTGATTAAATCTCTTATGATTCAATGTGTTTTTATATGGCAATTTAATTTATGTAGAGGTCGATAGTTAATTTATATTCGATTCAATTTTTCTTAATCAATGTTGATGGAATATTCTTTTACTGATAAGAAATAGTCGAGTTAGCTTTCTCGATGTAGGATTACTAATTTCGAGATTTCTTTTCGGGTTAAAGAATTTTCTATAATTAATTAGTTCAAAGTGAATTAATCCATGTTCAATAAACGGATCACATTTTAACTTTATATTCGACTCATAAATTCCACCATTTACAACAAGGTGTAAGCGACACAGTACCAGTTTTTGGGCGTTGTGGGGTGTTATTCCTTCCCCATACGTAACCGACTCCCGAATCCATTTAATCGAATCTTTGGTGATGCAGACTAAATTTTGTCTTAAAAAAATGATTTTTCTTAAAATTGTTAAAAGACGTTTTTAGGTATTTGACCTACCTAACCCAAAGGTCGATGGTGACTCCATTTTCAATTTAATTCGAATCAATCCAAAATCACCAATTTTTTTATTAAAGTCATAATCATTTTTTTAAAAATAATATTTAATTGTTTCACCTAAAAATGGTTATGACAGCTTGGCGACTCTGCTGGGGACCTTTTTTTAGAGAGTCAAGCTGTAGGTCGCTTACACATTGTGGTCTCAAGTGGAAATTATAAGTTTGAGTGAATAGTTAACTTATGATCCGTTTATTGAAATTTTTAATTGCTTCGTTTTCTGTCATACTAACAGTTTATTTGTAGCTTTCAGCTTTGTCAAGATTTTATCATTTTTTTCTTGTTTTGTTTTCCTTTTGAGTCGAAGGTAGGTATGTTCCTCCTCACACACATCACATACATTTGCATATCATAAGCTCTCGACATGAGCTTCGATCCAAATTAGTTGGGGTGAATGCTTTACTCTCGTAAGAATTTATTCTTCGTATGAGTTTTAGCAAATAACCCAAGGGATACATACCTTATACCTTCGTAGGGATTTATTCCTCGTATGGGTATAAGGCAGTGAATCCCCTCGAATTGAACTCGTTCCGTTCAAAACCCGTAATGGGTGATGATCGAGGGTCTGGCAGCCAAAGGGGGCACCGACATCAAGGACAATTCGAGTCTTTTTTTTCGTTAGAGCCGAAACCAAGCATATAGTGAACCGTCGAACGATCACTCTAGGTATAGTCATACCGAACCTTTGTCCGTCAGTAGGTACCCAAAATAGGTGTACACGAAGGAGGAACGACTCTAAACCTTAACCTTTTAAATTTGTAGAATATTTTTTTTTCCGAATAAAGCATGCGAACTAGATACCATGCGGTTAGGACCAATTTCTTGAAAAAAGATCATTTTGGGTAGATAGCATGTCCGGGTAGGATTGTTATTTAATTGAAAGCATGTTTGGGTAGATATGACGGGGTAGGTGTTATATCCATCTCTGAATTACATTTTTATTTGTATCAATTATTTACATGTACCAACTTATTTTTCTCTTTTGATTGTGTATACTAACTTATTTCTTCTCTTTTGTTTGTGTCATTTTGTCATTTGCATTGCATTGCATTGCATCATCATAATGCAAAAGTGTTGATCCGTAAGGGGATATTCGAGAGAAAATTTTCACAAGAAGAGATAAAAGTTTTCAATCAAGCGATCGCATACACAGACATGCATCGAGGGCTAAAAAGAAGTCCAGAGTACAAGAATGAGATTTTCTCGAAGATCGTGCATCATTCGAGACTGATATGATAATCCACTGATCTAAGGAGTAATCCAGCAGTAGATTCTCATCCACAATTATTCCATCGTTAACCATTAGGGAGTGAAGCACAAACTTCAGTATAGCCGAGGTATTAATGGAGTTAGTTTACAGAGCATTGAGGGGCATCGGTTCCAAGTACAAAAATCCGAGACGAAGCAGTGAGCTCGAAGATCGTGCATCATTTGGTACTGAGATGATGATCCACTGATTCAAGGAGTAATCTAGCAGTGAAGTCTTATCTACAATCATTTCATCGCTAGTTATAAAAGAGCGACACACCGACCTCACTACCACCGAGGCA